AGAACATCAGTTTGCATTATTTATTTATTCATTTATTTATTTATTAAAACATTTATATGCCATCCTTTGCCGCAGCCTCAGGACAGCTTACAAAAATATCAATATAAATAACAATATGATAATACAAATCTCAATAAAAACAATCAATAAACAATACATAATACAATAAATAATCAATAAAAATAAATCAAACAAATCAAATAAATCAAAAGTGACTGTTAAAAACCATTAAAAAGAGTCTGGACAAAAAAATCCAAATGTAAACATTCATATGCCTTTTTCTGCACAGTTCCTTCTAACTGTTCTTCAATATATATGTACTGTTCTTTAATATATGCCCTTTATTGTGTGATTTTTCCTAAAGTACAAAAATTTGTCCACAATCAGAGAACTGCATCACAAAATTCAGAAAAGTATGAAAACTGAATAATTGCTTTCTATTTCTTACATTAGTTGATGATTCAGTTAGTTTGTATTAAAATATGAACCAAACAAATTTGTCTTCATCTGGAAGATATAAGGATCGTGAAGGTAAAAAAACAGGTTTCCACCTTTCCAGGCCCAGAAGTTGATTTTTAACACAACCTACAACTTGAATGTTTTCAAGTTTTTATTGTATATATCTGTCTTTATCCACTTTGTTGCTACTTCTGGCTTTACTTCATGTCTTTGGATAAAGAACAGTGGGATATACAGTATTATATGGGATAATTACACAAAACATGAAATAATTCTTCTGTTTATCCAAAAGATGTACATTTGTATCCAGCAAAAGCATCTGAGAGAAAAGAAAAAAAGTGAGTTTTAAGAAGATGCAGAGGTTTTAATTTATCAGAATAGAAATGAAATTTGTAACCTACCACCCTCAGACAAAATTCAGTTGGTTGATAAAATAAGAATCTGCCATATCTTTCACTGGCATCCACTTCTTGACTACTAACACTCAAAGCTCATAAAACAACTTAACATTTTCATTATGCACAGCACATCACTAAAGAACCATCACTAATGGTATTGACTTAGAAATGAATGTACTCTGGATGCAAAAATTTCTTAGAAAATGCTAAAAAAGAAAAGCCTATTGTGAAATGAACATTTAAGGAAATGAGCCATCAAGTGTATAATAACATATAAATAGGTTAGCCTTAAGGCACGCAACAGAGTAATGTACCTGTTTGGCTAAAATTTACTCCTCTGTCATGTCTATCCAATCTAGATTATAAATCAGTATGACGTAGGCAGCAAAGTATCACATTTGGCTCAGACAGTTCTGGATCTGTATCTCTGCTCAAATATGAAGTTCATCAGATAAACTTGCACCATCCTAATCTGAATCTAGTAAAGTGGACATTTTGAAGTGTGATGGCAAAGTCTAGGGCAGGAGCAAGCAACATGCGAGTCTCCAAATCTTCTGGCCTACAATTCCTATGTTCTCTCATCATTGGTAATGATTGCCAGAACTAATGGGAATTGTAGGCCAAATTATCTCAATGGCTGCAAATTGTCCTTCCATGGACTAGCGCAATCCAGAGGTTGTGCTACGCACATAGACACAGGTTTCCAATCTAGTGAGGTGAGGGTTTTACTCCCTTCCTCTCATTAGTCTAGAGGCCATTCAGATTCATTGCGCAGTTTTGCTAGAGTGGAGTGAAGTCAGTGGCACAAAACCCAGCTGTTCTGTCCATCCTTTCTGAAAATAGATTTATCCCCTGAAAATTCAATTGGCATTTTAAACTTGCAAAGAAGTATATCAGTTCATACTGCTGTTTTTTGTCCAGCACAGGAAGTGTTGGAGTATTTGGGCTAGCAGCCAATTGTGCTTATCAAATTTTGGTGCTGCTATGAATATTTTGAGAAATAGTAAAAATGCCATTTTTACCACTGAGAGTGTAAATGTGATTTTTATGCATAATTTGAAGAGTGAGCACTTCAGACTCTGGAATGTTTTGTCTGATGTTAATCAAGTACTCTTCATCATTGTATTTCATATATCAAAAGCCATCAAAGACTAAATACTATTACATGCCAGTTATCAAAAACAAAATAGCTGACATGTCCACTATCAAAGACAATGTGACAGGCCATTAATGACAGCTACTGAGCACTGTTAAACACTATCTATCACATATCCAATATTGATCTTCTATATCTGTGGCTATCAAGTGCAGACTAACAAGTGGTTTTAAAAGAAGACTGAATGAATTCATGGAGACAAGGCTACCACTGGTTACCTATATACTGTATATCTGCCTATATACACAGCTGCAGAGGTTGCTTTTGCACACCTCTTGCTTATGGAAAGCTGGTTGGCCACTGTGCAAACAGAATAACGGTTCAGAAGAAACCTTAGTGTGATCCAGCATGGCTCTTCTTATGTTTGTCTATTCTTAAATATTTGCACACTCGGGAAAATATTTGGGAATATTTTACCCAAAGAAGAACATGAAGGAGCAGAAGACATTATCATTGTTCAAGTCCAGCAGACCTGGCTGTCCTATTTGAGATACATTTTTAGTACCCTGTGGAAACTTTTCTGAGATCTTCAGAGGAAAAGAGGAGTAGAAGAGCAATAACATGGCATTCTCCAGATGTGTGTGACCACAACTCCTATCATTCCCAACCAACATGATCATTGGCAATTATGGCAGTTATCTGGAGGGCACCAGCTTGAGGAAAGCTGAAATGCAGACTCATATTTACCATCAAAATTAAGAGTGTGTGTTTAGGGCTAAATTTATTTTAATACTAAACAGCAGCTGTTTGAACCATACACAAATATCAGGAACCTCCAAAATCTGCCTTAATTCACTTCAGATGTGATTCACTTTCTTTCAAACCTATTGCACAGGTAGGATTTTTCACCCAGCAATATATAAATATGCCTTTAAAAAGTAAAACAAAAACCCCTCCCCCTTTCTTTGATATTCAAGTTTTCAAAATCCACATTTTTTAATTAACAAGACCTCATTTTCATCAAATACAAAATGAAGAGCTGCTCTTTATTACAATTTGTACTGCCCTAATGAGCAACATTTGCAGCCAATTTGTGCTACTAATGAAAGCACCAGATTAAAAGCACCAAAACAGAGTCCTTTGTTTGCCCACACAATGAGCAGCAAGAGGGTAGCCTTCCTCTTCTTTCTCTCTACTGGAAACCAGAGAGGAAAATCAGATCTCAAAGGCCGCTTATACTCTGAACCCCTGCTTAGCCTGACAAAGAAAGTTTCTGGAACTTGAGCCACTATCTATTCGGGACTGTAGCAAGATGAAATGCATTTCACACCAGCCAGGGATCAGCCACCAGATGATAACAGTTTTGATCACTAGCCCATCAGCTGAATTCAGATTGAAGGATTAGGCCAGAAGCCTTCACTCAGCACCATCAGCTTGTCTCTGTGGGCTTTTAAATCCCTATTTAGAAGTCACCTAAGAGGCTGAGTGCAGATGCAAAAATTGCTCGCATTTCTGAATCCTTGCTAATTAAGTTACACACAAAGTCGATGCAGAGTCCTGTTTGCTCCAGAGCTTATGCGGCAGAAGTACACTTTTGCTTAGGATTTTATTATCATCAAGCATTTCCTTTTCCTTTCTTCTTGAGTTGCTTAAAGAATCCAACTATCTTTTTCATGAGACTAGTTCTGTCAGCTTGGATTAATTCTAGATGCTTTCCAGTTTTCCCATACTTTACTTATGAATTGAAAGTGGTTACAATTAACTTATTTATTTATATCCTTCCTTCCTTTCACTGCAGAACTCAAAGAGAACACATAGTATTCCCAGTAGTCTTCCCTCCAAGTACAGACCAGAACCAGATTTGCTTAGCTTCAGCAACTGTGCCTTCAGACCATTTCCCCCCATAACTGTGATTGGCTTATGAAGGGACCAAATGATGCTATAAACAGAAACAAAACCAAAACAGATCCTCTCTAAGCTTCCAGAGGGAAGACTACTGTTCCTGTGTTTCTTATTTCCCTCTTCCTCATAAAGCAGCGGGAATGTATGAGTCTTCAGTCCCTTGGGTTACCTAAAATACTGAACTTGAACTTCAGGGGAATTATGTTTTCAGAACAAGGAAAGAGAATGGCTGGGCTCAGACACCATGGCAACCCATGGTGGGTTTTTTTTTTTTTTTTACACCACTGTTGATTTGTTATGTTGTTCAAACCCAATTGTGGTTAAGTCTGGACTTTAGAAATTATGATAAGAAACAGCAGTTTGTTCTGTGGTTGCTCCGTACCACTGTGGCGTGTGGTGTTTTCTGAACCCAGGATAATGGTTTTTACATTCCTGGTACACAACTACCACAGAGTACCCTGGAAAGAGTGACCGCTGCAGGAGCTTCTCCAGCCATCCAGGCCGTATGTGTGGGCCAATGAAGAACAGGCTGATGACATAAGCAGGGAGCTATGCACCTTGGGTTAGATTTCAAAAGTAGGGGCTGATGAGATACTTGCCAACTGTGGGAGAACTGAGCAGAGACATTGGAAACCTTCAATAAAGTAGAAACCATTTGACTGCTGTCAAGTAAATCATGATTTTAAAAAATTGTAAACCACAGAGGGCTGTTTCTTACCTTGCATGAATGCAGCTAATATCTGTTTCACTATGGTTTATGCTTAATAACCATGATCATAGAATAGTAGAGTTCAAAGGGGCCATGAAGGCCATCGGATCCAACCAGAGGTGAGGAAATTGGTGGCTCTCTAGATGTTGTTGGACAATAAGTGACATCCTTGCCCATTGGCCATGCTGGCTGAGACTGAGAGGAGGCTGAAGCCAACAACTTCTGGTGAGCCAAAGGTTCCTCACCCTGGTTTAAACAAGCCATACTTTCCTGATTTCAAATAGCATGGGAAACTGTGCTCATCTTAAATATGAGAGAGGATTATTTTAATCTCCTTCTCATGGCAGCAAAAGAGAAGGGGAGCTTGAAGCTTGCTGAGGCTGAACACAGAGTCCTTGAAGCAGTTTTCTCAAGATAGCCCTCATAGTTCCCTCACCTTAATCAATGCCTCCAGCTCCTGTTGGGATACACAGTTGTTCTCCTGAAGGAATTCTGCCTTATCATTGGCTATTCTGTTCTTCTGGCTGCTTTCTTCTGGCTGCTCCAGGGCACGGAACACAAGCCCGCCAGTGACCAGGTAGGCTACCACTACAAAGAAGATGGCCACTACAGTTTTCCACTTCATGACCGTCTGCAAACCCTGCGAGGGGGTTTCCATGCTTGCGATCACAGTTGTCCGAGGGGAGGAAACGGACCGTCGTGGTGCTGGTTGGTGTGTGTTGGTCTTCTGGGTCTCAGGCTCACAAGCTGGAGGAACAGCTGCCGGAACAGACACTAGAGTAGAAAAACAAATTGGGTTGTTAATACTCTCTGTGTAATTATTATAGGGGTGTGTGTGTGTGATTATCATCACTTTTTCGCTACTTACAAGGCTGAAAGAGTCCATTTCACTTGATTCCAGATTTTTGCTCAGTAACTGGTGGGTAAAAATTGAAACCTTGTAGTGGGCTATGCTGGTGACTCCTGTCTCAGTGGGCTTCTTATCCACTACAGTTTTTATACTGAGCTTTATAGGTACTTGGTGAAAGTCTTTTGGGGTGGAGTTCAGCAGCATGGACAACTCAGATAAGACTTAAATTAAATGCTGACAGAGGAGTCTCCCCTGCTTAGTAGGAATCAATTAACTTATTTCGGATTTTTTTAAAGGCTTAGCATTCCACTTCCCCGATATTATCAGATCTTGTCATGGTACATTCTTTCACTCAGCAAACATGTGGAAGTACACAATTTCAATGTTCATCCAATAATTGCTTGAAAGTCTTTCCAGGGTACACTCATTCCACCAAAAGACTTACTGCAGCAACTGATAAACAGTATGATGCAAATAAAAATATAGGCAATTGCTTGCATTTTTCTATGATTATCCTTGCAAACACAATGGAGGGGATACTGGTAGGTAGAAAAATATACTGCCAACACCATGAAAATAGTCTAATTTCATCTGATAAGTAGAAAAATGAAAGCACAATGATACAGCTAGTCCAGCTCCCTCCTTTCAGCAGTGGCCAGCCAGATGATTCTGAGCAGCCCATGATCAGGGTATGAAGCACCCTTCTGCTTTGTTCAAGATGCCAAACACCCACTTTTGTACTATCCCTTTCCCCACACTCCCCAGCCGGTTCATATTTCATGGCCACCAAGCACGTCAATCTTCACTGAACGTTAAAGAATGGCATCCTGCTGAACCTACTAGAGAAGTGAGGTCGGGACACGAGCGCTCAGTTCCAGCAATGCTAACATCTTTTCTTTCATCTATGGGCAGCTGTCACTCCCGTTGCCAGGGCAATTTAAAATAGCTTCTGACTGAGAATTAGGAACTGACCTATCCAGGCAATGAAAGAAGTCAGTCTACCTTTTTTGATGCATGTGTCTCTTCCTCCTCTACAGCTGCTCCATTCCATTTCCCCTCCCACTGGATCGTCATTATTTCCACACCAGGCTAAACTTCAGTGCCGCTATGTCCTTATCGGACTGCTTAGGAGGAAGATTCCCTTTAGGCATTTGCAAAACTCAGGGTGCAGGACATCAGTAGGCAATATGTGAAACCCAGGGACCACCTGGGTGGGCTCCTTCTCCCCATTCCTTTCCCCTCCCACACCCACACACAGATGCTTCCCTGTGCTCTTTGTGTAACAGCAGAATCAGGCAGCAGTCCGATTCTCTAGGGAAAGGAGTATGCAGAATGGCTCTTCCCACACACCCAGCAGAGCGGTGCCTCCTCCTACCCCAGCCTGAAACTACCTAGCTGCACCCTTGAGTGAGAGGAATGGAGAAGAAAGACCACCAGCTGTGCCTGCTGCTAAAGGTTAAGGCTGCAAGCAGACACATGCTGATCTGGGACTGAGTTCTGCTGAACTGAATGTGAATTGTTGGTATAAGACTTCTGTAATGAATGCCAGATAAGGAGTGTCCATTCATACAGCAACACTGATGCTAACAGAAACCTAAAGCAAGACAAAATAAGAGCCAAATGAGACCCAGCTTTTTCAAAAGAGGGGTGGGGTAAGCAACACTGGCCAGGTTTTCAGAGTCTCCAAGGAAAAGAAGCCAGGGGTTCTGGGGTGCTTTGGAAGGCATCCCCACTGTATGCCTCACCGGGTTCAGACAACACAACAAACCACATGCCACAAGGATAATTTGGCAAATCACACAGCATGCGACCAGTACACCCGGGGGTGGGCAAATCAAGCCTCCAGAGTCTCTTTGATGGAAACCCAATCACTGTGCAGAAAAAAATTAATCCTTTCCTCCCGTCGCTGTTGCCCCAATTGAAATTCTCACCCTCTGAGGAGCTGCAATTAGCTCCACTGTGAGGGTGGATGAAGAGAGAGAACCCATGACTCACATTGTATTTCTTAGGGATTAATCAATCACTTATTAATATTTAGCCAAATAAAGATGCAGGGAGCCAATCCATGCAGCTAACATTAGAGATGTGGAATTATAAAATCCTAGATCTGAGCCCAAAATTTCTTAAATGGCTCTTTTTCTACACTCTCAGACTAACAAATTCAAATGGATTTAAAAAAGTGACCCATGAGCCAGTTCAAGTCCCAGGCTCAGAGCAATGATGCCCTCATCCTGGCCCTTGTCACTCAAGGTAACCTACAAGAACCACAATACCACTGGTGTGTTCTAAGGACGGCAAAGTCCATGCATGCAAAAGATTCCATATAAATCCCGAATATAATTATCAGTTCTACATGCGTCAGTGCAGAAGCAGAACAACAGCTCATTTTCAGTGTGGGAGGCCTAGTAGCTTGCGTGTGCTCCTTCCGCCTGTTGTCCTGTTTCTCAGAAAGTTGGAGACAGCACACACTGATGTACATAGATAATACAACAGGGATTGGGGGTGCAATATGCATCTCTTAATGAGTTCTTCCAGTAATTTCAGTGGGAGATAAATTGCATCAAAACCACTAACATTAATCCGTTGCATCTGCCTGTACAGATTAAGGCCCTGACCTGGAGTTATTGCTGATATTTGTTTGATGATCTGGCCTCCAGAATGATCTTTTTAGTTCAGGACTAGGAGGAAAAGAGGCTGGAAGTCAAATTCTGGTCTGTACATCTTGAATGATATTTCCAATAAATGGAGTATTACAATTCCCTGAAGTGTGATGTCATTTTTTAGTTAGCCTGACTCAGTTACCCCCAGTAAAGTGAAGAAATTTAATTTCTTGTTTGTCTGGTTGCATTGGAGTGCTTGGGTTTTGCATCATGAAAAAAAAGAAAGATGTGTGTTTCCCCGTTTGCTTATATATGGTCTGGTTTATCTTCCTTTACAGAATAGTAATCTCATCACATTTGGGTGAACTGCAGTAACAGTCATTATATGGTAAATGCCCTGGAGTGTTTCAAGTCCTTTCTGCCAAATACATTTTATTACATGCCTTTTATCTATAATTGTGAAGAAAGCGAGTAGAAGTTTTCTAGGGTAAAAATTGTGGACATTTTTCAAAACATAATAAATACATTTTAAATCAATTCAAAAAAAGTTGCTAAAGAACTAAAAAAGCCCCACCTAAAAATGAATAATGCATCACATACCCTTATCATGGTAGCAGTCTATCACATTAGCACTTAAAATTGTGGAAGCAGTTTAGCCACACCAGCAATAATGGGCAATTTGAGTGTTACACTTACTTTAACACCAGCAAGTTAAAAAAAAAAAAAAATTCAGCTGCAGAGGCGAGCAGCCAGCTATAATCCAAATGTGAGCCAAATAGTAAATGCAGCTTCTGAACAAATAGTGAGAGACCATTAATAACTTTACATACAGTATACCCATGACCAGGGGTGTTGGGAAAATTTGGATAAATCCTGTCTGAAAAGCATTACTCCTGTGTGCCTTTGCATTGTGGGATCAAATCCTGTCTTCCTTCTCAAAACCAAGCTGTCACTGTTTAAAACGGCATTCCCCCGCTCCTTTCTCTCACCTTTAGCTGTAGGCTACAGTAGGCCATTTTAGCCCAAATATACATTGTAAATAGTCATTGTTGGAATTCAGTTTACAATAATCTTTTGATAGCCCAGAGGGCTTCATGTGCCCTGATCATGCAGAATGTTTAGAGTCGAGATGGGGGTCTGAGCTTATCATGAATAGTTTCTAGTAGCTTGAATTTGCCTGTCTGAGCAGACCTGGAGATGGGTTCAAGTTATTCAACTAAAGTGTCAATACAGGCAATTAGAAATATTTTAATCTCATTGTTACAGTGTGATTGACTGACATTTCTATATCTGTTCTGTATGTGATGACCTCAGAATATTATTGTAATCTCTGCATTCTGTCATCAATTGCCCTGTACCTGTGTACCTATAAATGCCCTGTAATGGTATTGAAGCTTTGCAGCGACTTTATCTCTGCCAGCCTGGTAATGCATTATCATGAGTCAACCGCGGGAACCTGGGATAGACAATAAAGACGCGGAGGTTCATAACGATTGATCTTTCCTACAACGAGGAAAGATCCTCTTCCTCTTTCCCCTTCTCAAATTGAGATTCTGGGATTCTGACAGGGGTCAGCAACCTTTAACACTCAAAGAGCCATTTGGACCTGTTTCCCACAAAAAAGAAAACACCGGGAGCCGCAAAACCCTTTTGACATCTAAAATGAAGATAACACTGCATATATCATTTTTTACCTTAATGCTAGGTATATCTTCATTATGAGTTAGCTGCAGCTCTTGTTCAGTCACTAAAAAGTGTTATTTTTAATCTTACATTATAAACTAGTAGGACTCCTTTCATATATTTTGAATAGGAGAACAGCTTCCTGAAGAGTCAAAGTCAGTGCTAAAGGGCTGCATGCATTAAACAGCAAACCCCATAAGTTCATCAACAGTAAAAGCAAATGAATCTACCCACATATCATTAAATGTTTGGTTTTCTTCAGGAACTTTTCTTTTCTTCAATTTATTCATGATTGGCCTACAAGGCAAGATACAGGTGTGTTTAGTGACTGATTAGCAGATAAACAGTCAAGTGATGTGAATTGTGACAGGTCCCAAGGGCAGCTTTTATCATTCAGAGGAAGGAGATTACATTGGGACAAAGAGAATCTTTTCAGCAGGGTTTGAGTAACATGAGAGCCTGCAGGAAGCTTGTTCCACTCTTTCCCTGCACAATAGCAGAGGAATGTAGCGATTTACTTAGATTTACTTAACCAGCTAGCGCTTCCTGAGTGGATGCCTCATTATCACCTATTGGTATTTTGTAACTCGGGCGCCTTGGCAGATCAGCTGCTGTGCCAGAGTGTATTTTGAGCGACCAAG